GCGACAGAGCAAGACTCCGTCTCAAACAAACAAAAAGGAGGTAGAGGAGACCCAGAGCCATTAGACAGGGTCTGCAGGGCCTTTTCAGCTACCTCCCATGCTACGGGACAGGCCTGTGATGCTGGACGTTTTTTCCATTTCCAATCAACCTTGAGTGTCCTTTCCAACCTGGAAGGCAGCCGGATGAGTGCTGAAACAGGTATGTTCTTACAATCTGTTTCCTCACATTCACTTGCTCCTACTAGTTTAGTCTGCAATTCTACATCAAAGAGTAGAGCCTCCCAAGGTTACATTCTTTGGCACTTTGGGAGAGTACAGCTGGCTCAGGGTGGCCTCTAAACGTTAACAATCTTTTTCTAGCTACCTCACTCTATGCAGAGACCTTACTAAATGAGATTTTTTTTTTTTGAAACTGCCTTTTGTCAATTAGCTGCTGCCAGTCAGTAGAAAGAGCCGCTCACGTGCACACGAGCACGAGGGCCAGACCGCGACGGGAGACCTCCAGCGAAGCGGCACCTCGGGGAAGACAGTCACAACACACGACACCCACACTTCCTTGCTCCAATCCAATCCAGGAGTCCTCTTCCTTTCAATCGACACTATTTCCCCCACACAGGGAAGGGAAGAACGGGTGCTACTAACAACTTCTCCCAGAAAACTAACGTTCTCACTCAGCGTATCAACCAGACTGAAAGCAAGGCATGCGGCAGCACGGGCCTTTTGGAATCGTGGCCACCAGCAAGACAGCGTTGGGAAGCCCGTCCCGAGGCGCAGCCGCCATCGGAAAGCACTCGGTGGAGTCTGCAGAGATGCTGCTGCCTGAAGGTCAGTCACGGAGTTCCTGGGGAAAGAGGTCAGAGAGCCAAGGTCCGCGGATCCTCACCTCACTGCCACGGGTAGCTACTTTTACAGCTTAAGAGACCTGCTAAGGCGGGCAGGAAATGTGTTACTTAAAAAGGGATCTTAGATAACATCTTTTGTTTCCAGAGTTAGCTGTCAACTATATTTTTTAAACTTTTATGGCTATATGAGAAATATACTCAAAAACTGCAGAGGGACAAGGTGCTTCTGTGGACTGGATTGCCCTTCGGCTCATTTTCCGTGCTGGCTGCAGTAGCCTAGCGTCCACCCACAGGCCTGAGGCTTGCTACATACAAGATGGCTGACTTTGAGGTCAGCTTCACGCTCCAGGCCAAGGAGCACCAAGGAGCACCGCCTGTGCCCGCCCTGCAGAGGGTGGCAAGGCAGCAGGTGGCCTGGGGTGGTCTGCCTACTCCACCCATGCTCTCACTCTGTCTGTCCTCGAGCCCTTTTCCTTTCACACTCTGAACACGGGCGCATTGCCTCCCTGAAGAGCATACACCTGGGGCTTCACATCACGTGATGCAGGCACACGGAGGGCAGGCAGGTGTGCAAAACCCGAGGCAGTATTCAGAACCCTGGCCCCACAACCCCTCGACGTGAAAGCCCTTGGCAAGCAGCCACAGCAGACTCAGTGCTACACTCAGAAAATCAGACCAACAGATCAGACGCTCTGTGAACACAGCCGCACACAGAAGCAACACACACAGAATGGTGAATAGTAATCTCGTCCCTCCTTTCTTCCTTCACTGTGTGGGCGGCCCGTACCGGCCCATCCACATGGAGGCAGGGAGGGACCGACGGGGATGGCGGCCCAGGAGCTAAAGCAACCATGGAATAGGGTTCTCACAGTAGGGACCCCTCCAGCCGCTACATCCCGAACACGCTGCTCAGCCAACAAAACTCCTCCGTGCGCTCTGCCATGAGGAGCAGGAGCAGCTGGAGGCGGCAGGCTTCCCTTCTGGAAAGGCAGCTTTACATACGCACCTCGGTCACAGGGAGAGCAAGGGAAGCCTTTCTGCATATCTCGAAAATACAGGGGGCACAGCAGGTAAAGAAATCTGCCCCCACCAGGTCCCAAACACCCCTGCCCTGTACTGGAGACCTGCCCCATCAGCCTGGGCAGGTGTTTCTGCACCAGCCACCTAATTCAACACGGGCCCCAGCGCCCACAGTGTGCTCAGTACACAGCCTGCCTCACTCCAGACTCTCTGGCCCGCTCTCAAATGGCTGCATTTATTCCGTATGTGAGACCCCTGAGAGCGACTGCAAGGGACTCTCCTCGCTTGTTTAGTCCAGGAGAAGCACCAAGAACTCAGTAGGCATCCCTGAGACTTTTTCTACCAAGTAACAATTCTTCCTCCCATGAAATGTCCTGTCACTTAAAGGCAGATGATTATTCAACGAAATTCCCACTAATTAGTGTTGTAATAAATCACACTTCACTCATAAAAGTTTCTAGAAAACTGGTTGGCCAAAATCCTGTTGCTTTTTTGGTTCTGAGTGACATTTCAAGGAAACTTCACAATGAGATAAGCTGTCGGTGTAACTAACCACACGCCAGGACCCCCAGAAAACTTCACAATGAGATAAGCTGTCGGTGTAACTAACCACATGCCAGGACCTCCAGAGTTTGGGCGGAGGCACCTTTTTCAGACACACACCAGGGTCTAACCGCCCCCTCTCCACTTGATTTGGCTCCTGCTCATCCCCGACCTCAACCCTGCAGGCCCCGCACGGGGGTCAGGAAACCACGGATGGGGCCTGCAGCCAGGAACGGTGTATATGTTTCCAAATCATTTTAAAAAGGAAAAAGGGTCAGGCACGGTGGTTCACACCTGTAATCCCAGCACTGTGGGAGGCTGAGGCAAAAGGACTGTTCCAGGCCAGGAGTACGAGACAAGCCTGGCCAACATAGTGAGACCCTATCTCTCAAAAAAAAAAAAAAATTCTTTTTCTAAATTAGCACACGTGGTGACGCATGCTTGTAGTCCCAGTTACTTGGGTGGCTGAGGCAGGAGGATTGCCTGAGCCCAGGAGTTCAAGGCTGCAGTGAGCTATTATCACACTACTGCATTCCAGGCTGAGCAATAGAGTGAGAACTGTCTCCAAATAAATAAAAAGGAAAGGGGGGGGAAAAAAAAACAACAATTATCTGGAGATGGGCTAATTACATCAAATTTAAGTTTCAGGTCCGTAAAAGTTTTACTGGCACACAGCCACGTCTGCTATACTACTTACGGCAGCTTCATGCTACAGCAACAAGGCTGAAGAGCTGCCACAGAAAGCGTACGGTCTGAAATATTAACTGCCTGGTCCTTTATGGGAAAGGCTTGCTGGCCCTGTGCCGGCACACACCGAGTTCACACCTGTGCTCTCTGTGGTCAGCTCCCTCCTGCCTTCAGGTCGCTCTGAGTGGCCTGAATCCCCCATCTAGGGAAACCTTGCCCGACTTTATCCTGTATCTCTCCTTCACCGCTCTTGCCTCAAGCTGTCTTGTTCATTTACTCAGCAACTGTCTTTTCAGAAGAATGTAAGCTTCCTAAGGGTAGCTAACTTTGCCTGTCATTTCTATATTCCTGATGCCTAGTGGAACAGTGGAATATTTGTGAATCACATGAACACAGACCACACTAGTCAGATAAACTGAGCAAAGATGTAATGAGGCCCCAGCACCTCATCACCAGGGTTCTAGCTGAAGAGACTGCCTTGTCTAGCACCATGACATAGTTTGCGCAGTATAAAACAAGCAACTAAATAAAACCTGTTCTACTTCTCAAAGGTTCTAAGAGGTTATATACAACAAGTAAGTTGAGCTGTAAGTTAAGAACAGGACATGTTTTATGCTAAACGGAAGGGGCCACCTCCTGGCTTCCGGACATCAAGTGACAGGTGCCCGGCGCCTGCTCTGATCCTCCCCTCTGGTCTGTCCCTCCCCATCACAGGTCCTGGCGGTTCGGTGGTATTCCACCCTGATCGAAACACAGCCTAATGACTATATATAGCAAGTCTTTTAAGCACTAATTAAAAATAACAGTCTGGCATTTGAAAACTCCTATAAACAAAGATGTAAGAGCTGAAATAAACAGCAACAGTTGCAAATCTGGTCTAAGCTCAGGTGGGTAAAAAGCTACACGTCTCCTCTGGAGTTTCCCATCACTCTTGAGTTGATGGGGTTTTAAAATGCCTAACAATGGCCATCTTACCTTTTGGTTCATACGGAACGGGGCTTTTCTCAATTACTCCATTTTAATGATTATAAAATTCATTACAATAATATTTAACCTAATATATCCCAAATATCACTAACACTATAATCAAGCGGGAGACATTAAGTTATTTTGTCTTTCTTCATTCAATGTCTTCACTACTCATTGTGCATTTTATACTTACAGCACATCTCAACTCAAAATAGCTGCATTTAAGTGTTTAACAGCCACACATGGCTAATGGCTGCTGTACTAGACTGCACAGTTTTAAAATGTTCAAAACCAAACTTACTTTTCTGCATTTGGGGAGTCTTACATAAAAGAGGTTTTGTTTAAGCTCTTGTTTTTACTTAAGATGTCTGAATATATTATTTACTACTTTGTACTTTTTTAAAACCCTGGAATTTGTCTTAGGATTCACACTGCATTCCTCACAATAAGGTAGAAGATATTAAGGACTATATCACACTGCTTTCTCGCAAGCATCCAGTTGACTTCTCCAACCACAGCTGCTAGATTTAGTTTTAATTCCCTTTACACATGGCTCCTTTCCTGCCCTAACTGAATGCAACCAAGCAGCTCTGACACATCGGAGCCAAGTTTCCTTCGTGGGCAACAGAACGGCACCACCGTCAGTCACACAATGACCCACCCGAGTTTACAGCTCAAAAGCATTCCACTCAATCCTTTAGGAGACTTATGTCCATCTTTATGATTTAAGAAGAGGGAAACACTTTCAAGACCTCAAAATCCTCTGGTTAGAAGTGTAAGTACAATCAGATTAATGCACTTAGTTCTTCACTCACACAGCAAACACATGGGATTCTGCTAATAGAAATGGTGGTTTCAATAGTTTGGGGCTGCAATGGGATCACCACCCTTCACCAACAGTGGGATGTGCTGGCTGAACTCCGAGGGTGTTCCTGGTACCTCTGCATCCTGGTCCTGGAGCTGGTATGTCCTCTGGAGGCTTCGCAGAGTTCGGTGGCTCAAGGTCTTCTGCTCCAAGAGATGCTCCAGAAGCAAGACCAGCTGGTCTGGAAGAAGCTAAAGACAAAACCAAACAGCCTATGAAAATGCCATTCAGCTGATGAGAAAGTAAACCCAAATGTTCAGACTGAAGACCGCATACCCGGGGTAACCTGGGTGCTTTCAGCATATATCGGCAACATGGAAAGGCTGTGAAGCTGACTTTTGTGATTCCTCAGGGTGTATATTGTCTGTATTCCCAAAGACACTGCATTCCGGGGTCTGATTAGGCCCCGTTTTCCATGACTAATCATTTCAGTTTTATACTTAGAGCAGATCAAAACTGTGCTTCTCTTAATAAAACATTATCGTGGTTTACTGGATCTCTTCCTTTATAGCACGCATACAGCAGAAAATGTAATGTAGCCTAGACAAAGGTTCAAGGAGCCATCCAATTATAGGCAAATACCTGGAAATTTCACAGAAATAAGATGCGGCATGCAGTCCCCTTTTCACCACGTCAGCTCTGTAAATACACCTGCTGCACACTGAGAAATAAAGAGTACATACTGAAAGAACTGTCTTCCCTCCATTACGAGAATCATAAACTTATGATCCATTAAAAAGCTACAAAGGCCGTATGCAACTATACGTGCCGCTGTACACACAGACACACCAGGTCACCCATATTCCTGAGTTCTCATACAGGAACAGTCAAAAGTGACGTTACAAGCTGAGGGCAAAGAGAGGAGGTAGTCTTCACGTGGTACAAAAACAAAACACAACGTATGCGAAATACAAGGAAATGAAGAGAAGCATGCGTAAGACTTCATCCGTGTTACTCGCTACGGGGCAGCAGGGCCAGGACTGGTGGCCCTGTGAGATCAGCCCTGTAGTGCACTGGAGGAATAATCAATTTGAGATACGCCTTGTAGGAAGTGAAATATATTTATTCTAAAATCAAGATTTTAAAATTTACCCTATGAATTCCATGGCTCTCTCTGCCGAGCTTCTCTCCATCCCTGTGTATGTGCAGATCATCCCTGTCAATTCAAATTACAGGTCTGGAAGCTGGTATCACATCAACAGTACATTCATAAGAACACCTGGATTTTAACTGCCACTTTCTGATGCTCTAAAACAATTTTTTAAAAGTACTGGTTTCCCTTCCTGCTCCTCATCTTTCGGCCCCCAAGTGTGCACCACTCTGCCTGACCCTCCCTATCCCTTACCCCCTCACTCATTCACACACACACTTATATTTTTCCAAAAGGTACGCAGGGGGCAACAGGCAGAGAGCAAGTACTGCAAACACCACACCCGCTGCACCATTCCACAAGGTATCTGTTTTCTCACCTCACCCTTCTAAGTTCTGAGAAAGCCCCACTTGCCTACAGACAGAGGCAGAAAGAAGGGAGACAGGCACCAGTGCAATCACTTGGTTCTTGGGTATATTCTGTACTTAATAGCATCGCTTCATCTGAAAGGCATGCTCTGGCTATTCTCTCAGGAGAAACAAGGTGCCTTCAGCAAAACTGCAGTACGACCAGCACTGACTCCGACCCAAGGAATTACTAACGCTCCATTTCTTTTCATGAGAAGTCAAGTAATTGCAGCATGTTTTAAAGATATCAAATTACTACATAACTACTTGTAACAAAATCACCCATCTACCACACGATATTAAAAGGAAATCTGTTTCACAGAAGAGGCCAAACCCAGGCCCCAGCCTCTGGCAGGCCCCCTCACCATTCACACCGTGAACACTGCCGGGTGCGCGCGGTATCCAGCACTTCTGCCCAGGCAGCCCAGGGAGACTGGTTCCTCTCTCCCTCTGCCCTCCTCCTCCTTGCTGTTCATCTCATCCCTCAGCCTCCTATGATGTTCCAAGAGAGGTGCTTTTCTGCAGGAGGCTGAGCCTTCAACCCATGGCCTCAAGCACCCCTAACCCGTCTCCCAGGGCCGCTGACCGAATGCCCTCCAGCCCTTGAGCCCTCTTCCCAGTGCCTTCCTTTTCACCCCAGTCGTGGGCTCTCCCTGCTTCATCTCACTACTACCCTTTGTTGTGCTGCTGTCAAACAGCAGCTCCACTGGGGTACCCAGGCCAGGCCACCACAGGATGGAGACCTGCTCTACCGCACAGACACTCAAAACTGGTGAGCAGCACTTCTCAAGACAGACAGTCGACAGTCCGAGGACAACAGGAGCCTGGCATCGAGACCCCTCCAGACAAAGGCAGGCAGGCTTCGGGGAACGGGCTCAGCCTCACAGAGAAGCAATTCTCGGCACCACCGGCACCCAGACCAGCAGAACACCCTTTGCCAGAAGAGGGGCCTCGTTTGCTGACTAAATACAGAAGGAACCAGTCCTGCCAAACTGCAGAATTACAGGGAGGGGAGAGGAGAAAGAAAAGCATATCCCCATGTTCTACACTTGTGCTAACAAAGAAGCCTCCTGTCAGAACTCTCGTTTGGGATTTGGTTTAAACTAAAGACACACACTGAGCAAAGAAACCCTGAGTAAGACAATAGCTTGGTCCTCAACTTACCCCAACTAGGTGTAACCAACAGATACAGCCCAGTTTAAAATCCAACAATTACCAATACGTGGACCTATGAAAACACCTGCATTCGTACTTGTGTATCTGAGCTTTCTTTTAAGCTGAAAGCTCACGCATCTCTACACAGAAACAGAACCAAAAGGATCAACGGAAGCTTCTGTCCTCTCCAAATTTTACACAATGAAAACCTTTAAAGCTCTCCTCCCGGACTTAAGACCATGAGATGGAAGGGAGGGAGCACACTGACTCTCATTTGAGAGAGGTGAGGAGCAAGGGCGGACACTCCCCTCAGGTATCTGCTCCCCCTAAACAAGGCCCCGACCACAGTGCTGCCACAGCCAGCCTCGTGCTCCCAGGTTACTGAGTCCCATTCTTCTGAACAGATTTGAAATGACTCTCACTTAGTAAACAACCTGTAGCCATCCGGCTTTTAGTTGTAACTATTGTAACTCAGGGGGGGAATGTAGTTTCTGAAAAAAGTAGGGAAAAAAAATCAGTGAACAAATGCTATTTTGGGACACAGACAATAAAACTAATAAAGCATCTTTTATTCGCAAAATACACATTACAACATTTTTAAAGGATGAGATAACAGACCTTAAAAAGAGGATATTGAAGCAAAAATGTAGTTAAACAGCTTCAATACATTTCTCTTTGTAAAATAAACATTTGCTCCCCGTAAAGCCACCCTACAAATGAAGAGGTAGTGGTAATGTAATAAACCGAAACGTTTGTGAAGCCACTTAAAGAGACCACACATCAGCAGATATGCTCAAGGCAGCAGCAGGTGGGGCGGGGCGAGGAGCCCAGGGCAGGCACGGGGGAGTGGGACGTGCTATGTGGACCACTCCACTTCCACCCACGTGGAAATCAGAGCAAACTTCACGTGACTTCTAGGCCAACTGCGTTTATTTATTCATTTTAAGATTAACTGAATTTTAGACCAAAAGGCCAGCTGTGCTTAACACAGCAGCACCGGCGGGAGAGAGAGAAGGCTCTGGTCGCACCACAGAGTGATCGTGAAAACTAAAGGACCTCACCGCCGAGCATCACCACCTAAGAAAGTAGCTCCTTCTTCAAACATTATCAAAACAACTTGCCTTTATTTCTGAGGGCCTAACAGTGCTCACACCCACAGTTCAACAGTGACAGGAATGCAAAAGTCCTTTCCTTTGCATAAACAAGAAATTCATGATGGGGTTATTTTTTCCACACGGAGACCAGTTCAATATTTTTAAAATGCATCTGCCTCGGAAATTTACACAAAATAGGACTACAAGGTGCCAAAGTGATGTGGGTATTTGCAAGAGAACTTCACAGAACTATAAAACTTACTGAAATGAATACAAGAAATAAAATGCTACACGAGGTCAGTCAAGTACAAATGCTGCTTGTTAAGGATTTTAGAAGTCTGTGTTCTACTCTAGACATGGAAGGTTTCACAGTTGCTAAATACTAAGAACTGTACAAAGAAAGAAGTCCACCGCATGTTTTTCCCAGCTTCAGAGTCGACGCGAGCTGTACGACTTCCAGTGGTTTGGGAGACGTTTTACGCATGCTCTTGGAAAGAAAACACGATTTTTCCAAACCCACCCTCCTCAACTAGAGGCAGCTCAACAAAAAAAACCCCGACTCTCCCAAAAGCCTCTTACTGCTGTCATGGGGGCGTCACTCACTCTGCGCTCCCAGAAGACCACCCACGTAACTGAGGTCCCGCCGCCACTTCTTCCATCAGCACGATCAGAACAGGCCAGCTCCCCTCCCGCATCGGACATGGCTCACGACTGACCTCGCAGAGGCAGGGCCTGTGACAAGAGACCAGCGAACGGCAGCCTCCACGCCCCGGTGCCTGCATCCCTCCGACAGCAGAGGAGGGCACCTCCGGCGTGGCCCAGCTGCTGCGCCGCTGCCTCACACAAGAAAGTCACCGTGCGGCTCCCCAGCCAGAGAACAAGCCCGGGACGAAGGCAGCCACGGGCCGACAGTGGCGTGAGTTCTATTATTACCCCATTATCACTCTGGGATCTGTGCCTAAATGAAGCATGCTTCCTCCCTGATGCCATTTCCTTTTATCCTGGCTGGAGACTAAAAGCGGATCAATGGGGGCAATACATATGATGTCACTTCAATTTACAGCCATGGCCTCCCCTCTCCAGTCTGTCTGAAACACACAGAAAGATCAATTCTTCCCAAAAATGGTTAAAAAATGCTTAGGGAGCATTCTTCTTCCAGAAGAGCATTCTCTGCTATATTTGTCTATGTTACTATGCAGGGAACTGTTTACATGGAACAAAAACAGAAGACACGGTGGGGAGGGGGAATCTCAAATTCTGTATGCTGGAGACTTGCTGGCTGAAATTCAACACGAGCAGGGTCCTCTGAAAGTCACACGCACGAGGCCTTCGGGCAGAAGCACAACAGAAACCGGTTTTCTTTTGCCCCTTGGATTAAAAAGGTGATCCCACTGACACAAAATATCTTTCATTTTTAGAGAGTTCCCCCAAAGTCAGACAAATCC